TGAAGGTCTTATATGTTGGTGGAAATTGAGCCACCAGCTCAGAAGTCTGAAACTAAATATAAAACATCCTGATGCACGCTCAATAAATATAAAAGTAAATTAAGTGGGATCCCAGGTAAATATGTTTGGGGGGTTTTTTACATCTCATGGCAAAATATATTTATTGTACATTGATATTTCTTTAATGTATGTCTGTTTGATCCACTTGGAATAATTTCATGAGCACATCAGGTTGACAGAAGCTGCAAATCTGTGCAAACTCAAAGTCACCAGACAGAATCACGCTGGACACATCAGACAATATTTAATACAGAGCTCCCTCTACTGGCCATTATTTAAAATTACAAGCATTTCTGTTTCGTTGCATAAGGTTGAACACTAGGGGGCGATGTTGTATTTTCTGTTTTTAATTTACAGCTCCATCAACTAGCTGAAAGGTGAAATTTTATGTGCTTTTCTTTGTGTTATAGTATTAACTTATGATGCTTTAAAAATAATGAAATAGTTTATCTGATAGAGGAAATTATAAACATAAATATCAATTTCTGTGCAAACTGTTGCCAAATATTGTTAATTTAAATAGGTTTGTGCAAAAATAAAACAAACTTTTATCCCCGCTTTTTCATTAGAGAGTTTGAATTTACACTGTAAATATATACACAAAAAAAAAAACAGTTTGTTGTTTGGATGGCATTTATTCTCAACAAAGCTGCGCTGAAATCTGTTTGAACAAATTCTGGGAAGCCGTGGTCGAATTAACCTTTAGAAGAGGCTGCTTTAGTCATTTGTAAGTTCTCCATATTCTCTCTGAGACGAGCAAAAAGGTCAAGGGGCTAACTAAATGTCTCCGGCTCACAAGATAAGTTTGCTGTTCTGTCTGAATCAGTGGCCTTTGGATGTCAGAATAAAATCTGCTGCAGTTTAAAAGCACTGGGACTGTTTTAGTTTTCTTTTAAACTTCCATAAACCCTTACACTTTGGAGTAAAATACTGGAAATACAACTTAAATAATTCATATATCAGAACGTTCGGCCAACTAGAAATAATGTGCTATGACTTTTAGAATTTGTGATTATTAAATTATTTTTATTTACAAACTTTTCCTTTCAGAAACATACTGAGACTTTGTCAATTCGTTAAAAATCATTCTTTAGAATCTACTTCAGCACTGAGCTCCTTTTAGCTTTCAGCTATGATCTTGCTACTGGTATAGCTACTGTTTTGTTATTGTAGCTTTTAACAAGAACTTTGCTAATTTTAGCATTTAGATGTAGTTTTGTTACATTTACCTTTGAGTTATTGTCTTGCTATTTATAATAACAATAATAATAATATATAATAATAATCTTCTGCTATTAGCTACAATTTTGATCATTTATAGTTTTTAGTTTTCAAAATTTTTATTACTTTTAAAAAAAAATTCTATCTATCACTAGCTTATAGTAAAAATGTGACTTATTTTAGCATTCTGCTACAATTTAGCCAATTTTAGCTTTTAGCTATAGTTTCACAAATTTTAGTTTTTGGCAACAGTTTTGCTAATTTTTTGGTACTCTTAGCTTTTAGCGATTATTTAGTTAATTTTAGCTTTTAGCTATTGTTTTATTTTAGTTTTTGATTGTATTTAAATTTGACTTTAGCAAAAATGTTGCTAATTTTAGCTTGTGTCGCTATGTTTAGCTTTGAGCTATTGTTTTGTAAATTTTGCTTTTAGCAACAACCTTGTCTATTTTAGCTGATAGTCATAGTTTTGCAAATGTAATCTTTTTTGCTTTCTTTCTGTAATTTACAGTTATTTATTGTTTTACCTTTTAACTACTGATTTGTTTGTTTTGTTTGTATCACAGTTTTTTGCCGATTTTAGCCTTTAGCTTCTTTTATGTTATTGCTTATTTTTACCTTCTACTAGTTCTCTACTTTACAGTTTAGTTGACAATTCAGTTGTCAAACAAAATTTCAGCACAGTCAGAAGGCTCTCACACTATTAAATTTAAAATGATGTGGTAGAGAAACTAAAACTCAAAACAAGGTTGAGTCAGGCCCTCTGGGTTCTTCTTTCTTAAAACGTCTCACCCTTTATCCAGAAGACTTCTTCAGTCTGAGTCTTGAGTTGAGAAGGCCTGACTTAGATTATTGAGCATGCATAATAACTAAATGTTTTAACAAACACCCAGGTTTGCTTGTTTTCATCACCACCATTGATTCTGCCACTGGTGCTGCCTCAGAGTCATTTCCCTGCAGGATGCGCTCTGCAACATGAAGCAGTGTTTAAAGCTGATCAAGTTTTTGTGATCGATCATTTTGTTGCTGAAAGCCAAATGATGGCAACCTGCTGCTGAACGAAGTGGACAAACGCTCTCAGTGGAGCATGATGCACTTCATTGATTCTGTGATTGGCTCTTACAGTGAGAGCAAGTGAAGAAATCTGTGGATCTGGGTGTAAAAAACAAACAAACTTACTGTTAAAAGACACACAATCCAAATGTGGGTAACAACAGAGATTAAGTGTTCCAAGAAAAAAGGCACCAGAATGAGAAAAGATGATTAATCGTCAAGTCCAGGAAATTAATTAATCAAGGTCCTTGAGTGAAAGAGCTGCATCAAAACAGAGTTACCAATATGAGCTATAATCCAAATCCACAAATAAATATTTATTAGTAACCTCTGAAGACAAAAGGGCGATTATGTTTTTACCTGTGTCTTTGTGCGAGTTTCGTTTTCTGCTGTGTTAGCAAAATATCTGAGTCAGAGATTCTTTGTGGTCATTGGTACCTCATGTGGTGGAGTGAAATTATGTACACAGGGTCCCAGTTACATCCAACAATAAAATGTAAAAGAAAAACAATGATAACGTCTAAGATGTGAACTAAGATAAACATCAATTAAAAATACACTAAGTACTAATAGCATAAAAACATTACGTTGAACAGCAGCACGAACATGAGCATGAGTCTGTGTGAGCGGATGAGCACGCGTGAACACCTCAACATGAAACGGATCAGCAGCAACATGAAACAGATCAGCAGCAACATGAAACGGATCAGCAGCAACATGTGATTTTTTTTCACAGTGATTATTCTGGTTAGAGATTCATGTGTGTACAGCCTCATGGTAGAAGCTGTTCCTCAGCTTAGTGGTTCTACACTTAATGCTCCTCAACCTCCTTCCTGAGGGGAGCGGGGCAAAAAGTGTGTGTGCTGGGTGAGTGGGGTCCTTCATGATGCAGGTGGCCCTCTTCCTGCATCTAGAGGTATAAATGTCTGTGATGGTGGAGAGGCTGACTCCAACAGACTTCTGTGCAGCCTTCACCACTCTCTGCAAAGTTTTTCTTTATGCAGCTGTGCAGCCTCCATGCCACAAGTTGATGCTGGAGCACAGGATGCTCTCCACTGCACACCTGTAGATATATGAAACTGTCATAAAGTACAACGGGATTCTTGCTCAGTATTGTGCACAACAACTGTCCTCGTGCAGTAACACGCTGGGCGTGTTTCATCAGTGACAGCCGGGCATAGTCTGCAAGAGCCTGCAGCCACTGACCGGTCACTGGGTCCCAGCTGTCTCACATGACGTAACGCACCATATGGACCGACATGCATGCTGGTACGTGAAGTCGCGCAGACTGTGAAAGCCACAAAACACAAAGAGGACAAATAAATAACGCCGTCATTTTCAAGTCTATTTGTTGTGACTTAAACCCTCGAGTATCGCAGTTGCCTAATTTCGCTTTTCTGTTAATTAAACTGGGACTTGAAGGCAAATTCTCAATAAAACTACAAGTCCCAACGTGCCCGGTGAGAGGGGAAAAAAAAACATTACAGCCCTTTGAGGGTAGCTCCGCGGTTGTGAATTTGACCATTCCCGTAGTGTGCATGGAAGCTTTGTCTATTTGTAGAAAAAAATGTCACCACGAAAAATATTTATATGAGATTTTAATCCTTGAGTATTAAACTTTTTGCATAACTTTAAAAATATATTTATAATACGGTATGTTTACCTTAAAAAGAGTAGCGTTCATAATTAAAAAATATGTCATATATAAAAATATTTTTAACTACAATATACATTAAATATTAATCAGTGGTGATTTTTTTGTGTGTGGGAATTATCATGTAAATATATAATTTGAGTGTTTTGTCTAATTTGTTGTCGTTCTGATGTGTTGCGTGGGAAATTTCCGACGACATTGAAGCGGTTTTCCCACCTCCTCGCGCAGCAGCCGCTACCGCGTCACAGGCTTCATTCAGCCGGCGAGGCTGCTGGGCTGACAACAACAGGCTACCTCAGTCAGTCAGCCAGTCCGGGTGTAAGTATCCCTACATCTTTTATTAACTTATGTCACATCACAAATGTCCGTCGTTCTTGTTGACACCTCTTTTTTATCCCCAAAATGATATTCGAGACCGTGTGGCGTTGTTTATTTTAAAAGTTTTATGAGACGTTTGAGAGCATGGTGGTCTTTTGTTCTCTTTGATTTTTTTTTTTTTTTGACGTTTATTTTAAAAAGCAGAGCCTCTTAAATATCGGAATGTTAGTTGTTTGTGAGTGTGATTTGATTTATTTTTTCACTGCATAATTTTTTACATTATTCCGTTGTAGTTTACCGACATGACGCGTTACGTTATATTCCTTTGTTTACACGCTGTGATGTCAATATAAGAACAAGTGTTTTATTTGTTGGTCCACGTTGGAAGCAGATATTTATAATTTTTGATGAGGCCAGTTTATTGTAAACAAAATATTCACAGAAAATCTCAAGTATTTTAATCAAGTTGTGTTTTATTATAGTCTGTTGAAAGATGTCAAGGATGCAAGGGAGCTTTCTAAACCATCAGCTTGGTTTTTTTTTTTATAGAAATGTGGAATAAACCACAGAACAGCAGAGCTCAGTCTGCCTCAGTCCTGCTGGCCTGGCAGTCTTTCATCTGTCTCCAAGCCCTGAAGACGCTCCACCGTGTCCCCAGGTGCACTGGTTACTGCCGGACTTGTCAGCACCAACATCCGCTGGCCTCGAACTCCACCATGACCTCGACTTCGTCAGACAACGTCGAAACCGGGCGTGATCTGTCAGAGTCCAAGATCCAGGAGATTGAAGACCACATGGACACAGAGAACTGCTTCAAATCCAAGAGTTTACCCATCCTGATTGGACCTTGTCAGCAAGATGGCAGGGCTGCCATGCCTCAGCTGCTCAACACCACTCGAACCTGTGTGGTTATGGAGGAAACCAGAGTTTTCCAGCTGAAGACCCCAGACTCCAGCCAAGCTGAGTCCCCCTCCTCCTGGACAGACTTCTCCCCCTCCGTTTCCAGCATGGTGGGGCTCAGCAGGTCCATGCCAGTAGAAGGCCACAGGTCTGCAGGCTCCAGAGGCAAAACACTTGGTTTCTCAATTACCCGCTTCATCCACATCCCAGCGAGGAAGTATGTGCGGGTCATACTGAGCGATTCGCGCTACTTCTTGTTCTGCATGTGCTATCTGACCTTCATCCAGTCCTTGATGGTTTCAGGCTACCTAAGCAGTGTCATCACAACCATTGAGAAGCGCTACAGTCTGCGCAGCTCCGAGTCCGGCTTGCTGGTGAGCTGCTTCGACATCGGCAGCCTGCTGGTGGTGGTCTTCATCTCCTACTTTGGCGGCAGGGGTCAGAGGCCGCGCTGGCTGGCCGTGGGTGGCGTTGTGATTGCTGTCGGAGCGGCGCTGTTTTCCCTGCCGCACTTCATCTCGCCGCCATACCAGATCCAAGAGATGAACTCCTCAACGGGCCACGAAGGCCTCTGTCGGAGCGAGAACAACAGCGGGCGAGAGCTGCTTGACGCGGCGTCATGCCCTCGCGACCAGGAGGGCAACGAGCACAACCTGTATGTGGCACTGTTCATTTGTGCCCAGATTCTTGTGGGCATGGGGTCTACGCCAATCTACACCCTGGGACCAACCTACCTGGATGACAACGTGAAGAAGGAGAACGCATCTCTCTATCTAGGTAAGTGATACAAGTTAATCCCACATGAAATCACTGTAGCCAGAACAACGAATCCATCCCATCTTTTAATCCATATTTTATTTGTGAGAAACATTTGCAGAAAACAAACAATTATTCCAGAGCACAAAGTATTTGTAATGATTTTGATGATAAGCAAAGAGTTCAAACTGTATTAATTTGTTGGTAAAGTAGCAAAAGGGGCGGTGATAGTTCAGTAGTCAGTGTTGCAGTTTCTAAATTGCTTGAGCATGATTATATTCAAAGAGTTCATCCTCCATTTTTTTTGGGCTTATCTCCACGGCATGCAACCTTTGCACCGTACAGAGGAGAATACAGACCGCAAAGTCAACCCTGGACCAGAGGCATATGTGAGACGGACGGGACATGTGGAGAGGAGCGGAACTGGGTTGCTTATGATTAATGTGCCAGAACGTGCACTTTTGTTTGTATTACACCACTGTGTTGGTAGGTTCGCTCACAGAAGGTGGACAGCATCAATGAAACACACACTCATGTCTAAGCAGAGATGACAGGGCCCTTGTGTTTTAAGTGTTAGCAGGACGTTTTAGCTTTTTATTTTTAAATTTTGTCGTCTTCTTTTGATTACCGTATTTTCCGCCGTACACGTCGCTCTGCCCTATAAGTCGCATCAGTCCAAATATGTCTAATAAAGTGGAAAAATCCATAAATATGTTGCGTCGCCGTATACGTCGCATCTATTATGCGTCACCGCTAACGCGTCGCGTTTGTTACGCGTCACCGCTGACGACCCGGAAATGCGGGCCGGTGTCGTGCCAAAAATCGATGGGCTGCCAAATGGCGGCTGCGGGAGAATTTAACAAGGTTAACACTTAAAAACAAGTATTTTTTTGCTTTATAGCAAAGATGTGTCTCAATCGAACGTTTGCTTAATAAAATACTTTAATAGTCAAATCAGCTGCATTTCAAACGTACTCACTGCCTCGGTGCTCCGGGAGCGCGCGGATGGAGGAGAAAAAGGGAGAATGCGTCTCGTTTCTTTGAAAATTTAATAAGAAAGGCACCTAAACAATTATTTGTTTGCTGGACATTATAGCAAAGGTCTGTCTCAGTGCAACTTTTGCTTAATAAATGCACTTTAATGGTCAAATTAGCTGCATTTTGCTGTGGCGGTGCAACTGGTTTGGTGGTTCCAAGCAGCGAGCAGACCGAAGGTTGGGGGGACTAAGGCAGGCCGATTGTGTCATTAATAGCTGGTGAAGATTCTCAGTCATCCAGGACATGGTCAATTCAATAAAGTTCAAGATAAAAACAATAAAGTATAATAAATAAATTCCAGTTGTTTTTGTATTGAACTTTTTTGAATTTGTCATTATAGCCACTTTTACATATTACATGATAAAACGGCATGTCGTACTTCTACTACTCTGCAGCCGTTTAGTGGCTGGAAGTGGTACTGCTCTTTTTTTTTTCAGTCAGAATTAATGAAAACGGTCATATCTCAGCCAAAAATTAACTTATAAATATGAGAAAACAAATCCATAAATATGTCGCTTTGACCTATAAGTCGCAGGGCGTGTAAATTACGCCAAAAACTGTGACTTATAGGGCGAAAAATACGGTAATCATTCAGTCATTTCTTCACACAGCATCCTTAAATTACTGTCGGAGCTGCACAGTTTTTGCTGCCGCACTTTAATCTCGGTTGTATGTGGGCGGCTGTGGCTGAGTGGTTAGAGCAGTCGTCCTCCAATGCAAGAGTTGGGGGTTTGAATCCACCAGCAGTCCATGCCAAAGTGTCCCTGGGCAAGACACTGAACCCCTCATTGCCTCCGATGTGAGTGTCTTTGATAAGATAGAAAGGCGCTTTACAAGTACAGTCCATTTGCCATTTAAATTATTTGCTGTGCTGGAACATATGTTCATATTGTTTGGTCGCACTACTCCTAATAACTAATTAATAAGACAGTGATTACAGAATTAATCTCTCTGTGCGCCTGTCTGAGTTTTGCTGTAGGATTACTCGGACATGGGACACAATCTGTACCCATCCAGATGGCTGCTTGTCGAACAATCTTTGTGTCGCCCTGCAATTTTATCATTATAATTCAATATATTTAGTATATCTTTGCTATTTTTGTGATGTTGTACCACACAAAACATCATAAAACATCAATAAAGAAGTGATCGATGTGAACATTTGAACGTAATCTTAAAATTTTAATACTGGAAACATAGTAAGTTTGTTGTACTTCCAGTTTATGATATTGCTGTGATTTTTTTTTGTGTGCGCGTTTGATTAACTGACAGACATTTGTCCTTTAAAGTTGGACTCTGTTGGACTGAAAACATTAAAACGGTTGCTCAGCGTTAACAATGTTGATGCTGCCCCCTCCTTGTTGCACATCCCTTAGAGCACATCCTGCCATTGAGACCCAGTATTGATCCGATCCCCACGTCACAGGGAGCCGTTGCAGCAGGTCTACTGGATCCACCACAAAAACAACGAGAAAAGATCCCCAGGCTCGTTTCTTCCTCTGCGCTCACCTTGGTCAGGTGGTCCAGTGGACATGCGTCAGCCGCTGAAGGGCTCATTGAGCTGTCCCTGTCGAGACAACCCCTTGTTCAGATCGCTACTTGCTCCATTGACCTTCATGGTTGCTTCAGATGACTCGTGGGAGAGATCACCTCTGGGAAACACAGAAACATGTTCTCACATGGCACAGAAAGCTGATATGTCGGGGGGGAAACGTCCTTGATTTGTGTTGCAGATACTCCGATTACCATGGTAACTAGACAGCTGTTAACCTACTCGAATCTACAATGACTTTGCTTGTCTCATTTCATATAATTGTTCAATCTTCGCACCTATTTCAGTATTTCTCCAAACGATTTTTCTCATATTGGTTACTCTTAGAGATTTTGCCCTCAGTGATATTAGTTGAAACTTTTTATTTTCAGCTTGCAGTGGCTCAGAGGGAAGAATGCGCCTGCTTTTGTAGGACAATGCAGTTTACGTTGAGGGGTCCTGGTGTCCTTGGATAGAGACAAAGCATGCACACGCTCAGGTATCAGGATGTTTTCAGTGGAGGCGAGGCGTGCCCAGTGCTTTCTCAACGATTCCCGGCACCGAACCCACGTCACTGTGGTCATGTTTGTAATCGGCTCAGCATCTGCACTCGATGTTTTGTACGCCATGATTAGAGAAACGGCGAATGTGTGCAAAATTTGTAGGATTTTGTGTTTTTGCTTTTCCTCCCTATAAAGCTCAGAACAGCGCGTCTGAGGATTATTTTTTTCCCTACTCATCGTTTGTTTCCAACATCACATCCTTTGTTGCTAAGGTAAACATTTGCATCTGAGAAAGCAGCTTTATTTGGTGTAAAAGGTGCATTAAATAAAATTGCACATCTGTATATTGATGATAAAGAAACTTATCACTTTTGTTCTTTTTCACTTGAGCTTCTTAACCATTTATCTTCTGTTTTGACCTCATAAATGATCAGTAAATATGTTTCTTGTCATTGAGTTGTTGATTTCTTCCTGCTTTTGGACAGCGTCTGACTGGTTGTAAGAGAATGTGCGATGGCTTCTGTGATTTACAAGCAAATAATGCCGACTCGCTGTTCTCACTGTAGGATGACTTGAATGATTAGGCCTCAAAAGGGCTTTTTGCACAGTCTGCATTACTGTTCAGAGTGGGCTTACATAAATGCAGCCACTGATCTTAATTTGTACCCTTTCACTGTCTGAATCTCCAATTTTTTTACATCGCAGATAGGCGATAAACAATAAATCAATTAATCACATGATAAATGAAAATTATCAACCTCATTTTCATTTATCGGCTTTATCGTTTCTTCGTGTCTCTCTTTCTAGTGAAGACACTGGATGACAAAAGGCTCAACTCTGGTGCTCTTCACTGACCGCTCCCTTTCTCTTTTCTCTTTAAAATCCTTGTAACCGTCCAAAATCACATTTTTGGATCGTTAAAAGCAGCTAAGCTGAGAAGCTAAGCTACGAGCTAAGCTAACAGGCCGACCTCAGGGGGAAAAAAACCTCCGTCTTATCGAAGCTCCAAAATTCACGGTTGAAACCTGTGCCATTGTGTAAAAAATTGTTTTTCTCTGCAAAAAAAAAAAAAAAACGAAAAAATTGCCGATAACTTATTTACTGATTTTTTATTTTTTTAAATTATAGTAAAAGCTTTGTGTGAACAATGCTATGCTAAAAAGTTAAAACCACACCGAGCGTCCGCCATTTTGACAACCATAAAAAATGAACGAGACAGCCCACGTCACGTCAAGGGGCGTCCGTCACATTTTTCTTAAAGAGACACGCTGCTTGCTCCCTCACTATCCATCCACCAAACAGTCTTATACTGCCATCCGGTGGTCAAAAAAGGTACTACACTCAAAACAAATCAACCAAACATTTCTTCTTAAATTTGACAATAATTACTAATTATTGTCAAATTTCAAACAATATTATCGTTTATCGCGATAGCTTCTGAGACAATTAATCGCCACGCAAAATTTATTATCGTGACAGGCCTAATCGCAGAGATGGAAGTAGCTTCCCTCTGCAATCAGGAAACGGTTAATGGTTCCTTCTTGGCTGACAGACCCATTGCCTCTGCATTAACAAACATGCTGCGCTGAAATTCTAGTTTTATTGGTGTTCCTGCATTATTAACGTCTGTTAAACACTCGAGAGAAATCATGGGTCTCTAACTCGGCCAACGATTAACACAGTGGGGTTGTCAAAGCTGAAGGAGGAGGAACTGACTGGGCTCTGCTTTATGAAAGATGGGTTGAAACATCCTCAGAGATGTTCTGAACTGCAGTCTCGCCTGCATGCACATGGGCACAAGGCCCATTTTATGTGGACAAATTTAGACCGAACAGTTGTTCTCGGTCTCTCCCCTGAAGTGTGTGTTCCCTGCAGATTGGACATACAAGTGAGCTGCTGGTTTATGATGAAACTTCTGTTCTTCCTTCATGAATAATACCATTTTGTGT